TATTAATATATTTCTTTAAGTTTTTTGAAACTCTTATAATGAAGATAAAGGAAGTGTAAAAGACTTTTAAATATTGAAAGGTGAAAAAAAAAAAATATATTTCTTTAATTTTAAAAAAATTACTATAAAAAATTTTTTTTAAAAAAAATGTTATATATAAAAAAGAGTTTTTTTTTTTATTATATGAATTAGATTTGAATTTTTAAGAGAATAACTTATTTATAACCAGTACTATAATTTAAATTTAAATTTAATTCAAATTATTAAATATATTAATATTATTACTTAATAATTTTTTGATTTGATTTTCTTATGTTAATATAAAGAATTTGTTTAGTAATACCTATTTATTTTATTATTTGAAATTTTAATTACGTATCTGGATTTTTTTAATTTTTAAATGATTAATGTAATTTTTGACTTGTTATTTATATTATTAAATTAAATTAAATGATTAATATAATTATTGGCTTGTTGCTTGTTATTTAGTTTCATAAATTAGTATTATATTTTATACAGTATATCCAATATATTTAAATGCTGTAAATTACCGTTACTGTAATTATTATATGCATTATGAAATTTAATATTACTGTAGATCGTCTTAATCATTATATGCATGAAACAGGAAATTTTTTCGAGCACTTGATCTTTATCTGGTTTCAACTTGATCGTTTACTTTCTTTAATTCACAATGTTGCGTTCAACCCTTCGCAGTAACATTTTCGCTACCAAACTCAAATATCTTGTGAATTCTAATCGATGGTATACTTCGTCCTCTTGCCATTATGGCATGTGTATTGACATCGATGGGGTACTTATAAAGGTAGGATTTGCAAGAAATCCTTGAGTACTATATTTTTTTTCGATATATCTCACCTAATTAAATTTAAGGGTAATAACGTAGTACCCGAAGCCAAGCGAGCACTTCAGTTTCTTAATGGTGATAACTTGTTAAATAAGTGAGTTGATTATCTCCCCGTTTGTAGGAATCAAGTGAGAGGAATAAATATTGATTTTTACTCCTTTGAATACTATTTTGTGCAAAGAAAGATTCCATTCATTTTGTTAACGAATGGAGGAGGTGAAACCGAAGAAAGCAAGGCAGAGAAAATGAGTGAAAAGCTAGATTTTCTGGTGAGCGATTGATAATGGAATATTTCAAATCTCTTATCCCCTCGAATATCGTAAAATAATCAAATATAAGCAGATAAAACCTTCCCAAATAGTATTATCCCATTCTCCCATGGAAAAGCTCGTTCCCAAGTACCGTGACAGTGAAATCTTGGTTATTGGAGGTAAACGAGATGAATGTAGAATTGCTGCGGAAAAGTAACATTTCAGTTTCTATTTCATAAGATGTTCGTTTCTAAGCAAACCATTAATCGATATTTGATATTATAGCTATGGTTTCAAAAGAGTCGTAATACCAAATGATATCTTAGTCTGGAACCCGAGTATTTGGCCATTCTCCAACTTTCGTGAAGAGGATTTAAAATGGGCTAGGGTGATTGCTCATTTATCTTTTTACCTGATCTCATTTTCTGTTGAAATTCAACGTATTCAAGAAAAAAAAAAATTTTTTTTTTTAAATAAAAAAAAGAGAGTCGACTTTTCAAAAGAAAGAATCGATGCAGTTATGGTATTTCACGACAGCCGTGATTGTAAGTTACGACGTGATCCTTTCAATTTTCATTATTGGAGTGATAATTCCTTTATCATCTATTCATTTTGTCATTAATAGAACAACTTTGTTGATAAGGGGGTCGCGATTTTCAGATAGCTTTAGATGTTTTACGTAGTAAAGATGGTTATATTGGAACGATAGCGAGCCAACGTGATTTATTGAACCATCAGATACCATTATTTTTTTCGAATCCCGATATTGTAAGTATCATTAATCTTATTTAAGTTGTCTCTGGCATATCAGTTTATGTCAATTCTATATGATCAGTCTCATTTTCATACTTTACCAGATGTGGTCAACAGAATTTCCTAATCCCAGATTTGCCCAAGGATCATTTAGAATTGCGTTAGAATGTTTATTCGAAGTAAGACGGAGGTCCAAGATTTTTCTTTGTAATTTAACCGCGGAATCCGTTATTATCATACTCACAAATCTACAGAAATATACAGGCTTAAAATTAAAATCCGAATGGTTTGGAAAACCGGAGACGGTAACATATGAATACGCGCACATGATGTTGGAAAATTACGCATACGAGTTGACGGGAGATTCTTTGCCAAATAGAAAAATCTATGGTAAGGAAAGGTCATTATTTTCATTTGTTTTGAGGGTACATTAAAGCATTGATGTCCTGATCATTTTATTTTAACCAGCCGTTGGGGACAACCCTGCATCAGGTATAATTTGTTCTGATGAACTATTGAATCATTGCGGTATGATTTTATTAGCGATTAATTTATTTATCCCTTTACTTCTAAAACTCTGTAGACATTGCAGGAGCAAATAGGCATGGATGGCATTCGATATTGGTCAAAACAGGCGTATTTCAGGGTGAAGGCAATGATTTGAAAGATCCAGCAGACCATGTGACTGATAATGTTTTGGGTGCTGTGAAATGGATGTTTGCCAACGAAGAAGGACATTGATATTTATTGACTTCAGACCTAATTCAAATTAACATTCCATTCACATCCCTTAACTTTAACCTTAATCCCACTACCTTAATCATAAACAACTCCTTACATTTAATATATAATTTATTGGTTTCATGTAAAATTAGTAGTGATAGAGTCGAATAGAATTTGCGTGTACTCACTATAAATTATGATTCATTGATTTGCTGGTAGATTATATGAATCAGGAGCTTTAAATAAACCAACAAATAAAAAATTACATTTAAAAATATCCAATTATGATGTAAGGAACATACATAGTAAATAAATAAATAAATCTATTCTATTGATTATTAAAACCCACGTATTTCTTATTATAACTGTTTTTGAGTCTATTCCACTATATTGAGATTTTTATATGTTTCCGCTATATCGAATTTCATTGTGTATTAATAAATCAAAAAATTATATTACTATATGCGGTATATAAGCACTAATTTCAGAGATCTAACCCATATTTGATACGCGTTTCTTGAGATCTTTTGCGAGTTGTCTTTTTTTGAATGAGACGATTTCAAACATATTTCCTTTTTAATACGAATAAAAATGTCTTCGCTTATACTTAGTCACAAGGAGCGAGCCGAAGGGCCGTGGGTCAAATTACAATCCGAACCGTGTATTTATAATTTCTTTTGTGCACGATCGAACATGGTGGGGCAATTAATTTATAAATATATTTTAGCTCTCTTCACGACGTTAATGTATGATTTAGGAGTAAAGGGCGCCCGAGCTACCGAAGTGTTTGTTCTCGATCAACAAGACAACTTTGATGATCTTGGGTAAAATTTTTATTCTTCGTACCTTTCTTTTCGAACTGACTCGCTAAACCAACCTAGTGAACCTGTTGGTTTGTTTGCCCAGAGAAATTTACGGGCTCGTGTTTCTTTTCAAAATGACTGATGCATTAAATGATACCAAAGGCTTATACAATGAGGATGAGTCTCTTGAAGATTATCCGCCGAACGTTTACTTTGCGAATCAGGTACTCTTTCATTTTGCGACAAATATCTTAGTTTAGCAAAATATTTATGAGCCATATTTTCAAATATCAAATAGGTTGTTGAGAACGCCTGTGCCACTCTTGCGGTATTAAACATCGCATTAAATTGTCGTCATCTAGAAATTGGTAAAGAATTACGGGAGTTCAAAGAATTCTCTTGGGATCTTCCGCCAGCGGTGAGTTTGCGTTTTATTGTAGCACTTAAATAAGTTAAATATTTATTGGGCTTTTTTTGATAAGGCAAGAGGATCTTCAATTGCGAATCATCCTACTTTTCGTCAAATTCATAATTCAATGGCAAGGTTTGATTACAAGAGTATTCTACTTGATCATTCATTTACCAAAAGCTGGGAATATAAGAATCTTCGGATTTCTTGTCAAATAGGCATCCGGAAGATTCGTTGATAGTTGAGGAGATAGGCAAAAAAAAGGGTGATCCTGATGAGGAAGGTGGAGAAGTTTATCATTATATTGCGTACGTTCCTATTGACGGGGAGGTCTGGCAATTGGATGGTCTTTATCCTCGTCCAATTAAAATAGGTATAGTATCGTGATGTTTTATATATCTATTCAGTTATTTTTTTTTATTCAAGTAAATTGATTTGCACTTATATATATATATTGTACTTCAAGGAAATTATGAAGACGAAAAAATATGGTACGATGCCGCACGTGGCGTTATAAATGAACGTATTGACAGGTATATATTGCAATTCGGCATGTATTTTTATACATTTTTTTTTCTCATTCAAGAATATTAATCTTGCTATTACATAGGTTCCATGCCGAACAAGGTAAATTTCGCTTCTAACATTTGTGTATTTGTTCATTAAAAAAAAAGACTAGTATCACAAAAACATTGTTTTTTTCCTCCGCAGTCGAATACGTGCTTCTTGCCATCACAAAAGATCAAATCAGCATACATCAAGATCGTGTGAAGGATTGTTTATATATAAAAAAGTTTGCCGAACGTAGATTGGATGAACTTAGTAAAACGTGGAGGGAGACTAATATTGATGATGTAGTTATTTCAAATCATAGGTTAGGCGATTCTATGAATTTTTCCAAAAATCAGTTATTTATAGTTAGTTTGTTATAGATTGAGACTACGTTGACCGAAGATGATGAACTCAAAGTGTTGGATCGAGCAAACATTGACATCGAAATCGAAAATTTGACGATGAACTTTGATGATATCGAAAAGATTGAGCAGATAAGGGCAAAGGTAGTTAATGAAATTAAGTTTTTACTTGAGGCTATCGACAGGGAAATCAAATTGAAAGAGGTAAGTTGTTTTGAATTTAGTATACGATTTGATTCTTTTGGATTTGGAATCTTAAGATTTTATTTGTCGGCATCAATACAAAGGTTGAAAAGGAAAGGAGGACGTTCGATTACGGACCATTTATCAGAGAATTTATTTCAATTCTTCACGAAAGAGGTGAATTGAAAGAACTTCTTGCCAATGCTGATTACATGGAAGAAGGGGATGAATAAGACGCGTTGTTCACTATATTTGTGCGCATGGAGTATCTATTTTTTCCATATTAGTATATATTGTTATTTCTCTATATTGTGGGAAGGTTATTCTACTATTTATTCGTGTATTTGAATTACCCCAACTATCAATGTTTGGCTTAGAATTGGGTCTTTATTTGATTGTTTTTGTTTTTGTTTTCTTAAGAACCTTAAATTATATTTGATCATACTTCTAACTAGACATCAAATCGTGATAGTTACAACTCTATTATTATTTTTTGTAAAACTTGCAACTTTTGTAAATTATAGAAGAATCATTGTAACTATCATGTACGTGTATATCATTTGGTCTACTGTAATGATTTGAGCATTTGTATCTTGATTTTATTAAATTAAAGGTGGATATCTAAAAACGATTTATAATAGAAGTACTTCAAAGTAGTTTTACTACTTGATAATTGTTGTGTTTATTATTAAATAATTAAAAAATTCAATAAATATATAGCTAATTAAAACTTGTAGAAAATAAATCTTAAGAAAAATAAAATAAATTTTATATTTGTTTCCGATTTCTTTTTTTAAATTAAAATTTAGTAAATTTAGATAATAATCGTTTATCTCTGTCCAAAAATAACTTCAATGCTTATTAAACAATGTTATGTTACATAATGACATAATGATTATAAGCTTAAAAAATTTTCATGCGTATTGTGGAAAGTCGACCTCCGATTCGATGATAAAATTCCAAATTCATGAACAATAACCGACGATACATATATATACAGAAGCTCATTTTGTGCCGCTGTTGACAAGCCTCAGTGATGTGATGTGTACAACTTTATTCTTCTACTAGTGTATCATGGTATCAATGGTTTGTTTCGTTATTGCACATAAAATTTACACGAAGCTTTAAATCATTCTAGGAATAAAAAACTTTACGTCTTCCGGAAAGAAATTCATAAATTGACAAAGTGATAGTTGTCAGAAGTGTCGTTCTTGATTCGCGTCTATATTAAATATTGGAGCAAACAATGCACACACTAGCGCAGAGTGACACTAAGGGTAAGATTAGCATTGGTACAACAGATATCACTTATATAAGAGCATGACCTTGTCCAACTAAAACAGAACAACGATACACTCTGCCTTTCATAATTCCTAACATTTCCTAACATCATGAATAGAAACTTTTGTCTCTCTAATGAAGAGAATGTGGTATACTTTGAAGCCCACCGTATGCCTCTAGAAGAGGCAAGTGAGGAAATATTGCAAAGTGCTCAATTTTTCTCCGCTGATGAAGAAAACGTGGAAAATGTTACCGAAACCCATCTCGAGGAGGCAAGAGAGGAAATGTTACAAAGAACGAAACCTTGGCAGAGTAATGATGAAACTCCAGACTCCGACTTTAATTTATTCGACGACGAAGACTGCGACGACAACGGCGATGATTTCAATGGGAAAGGTTTTTTCCCCGAATTTTCGTCAATTAGTAACCACCAAATGAACTGTGAGCAAGTTCACCCTTCTATTTCTTCCGACGACGGCGATGATTTCAATGGGAAAGGTTTTTCCCAAAAACACTCGTCAGCTATTTATAACCAAATGAACTGTGTGCAAGTTCCCCCTTCTATTTCTTTAAACAACCAAGATTCTACTTCAGACCTTGATGGTCATCTTTCCATTTCCAATACTGATTCTTTCATTAACGACGCATACACCAACGATGCTTACATTAACGACGCATACATCAACGATGCTTTCATTAACGACGCATACATCAACGATGCTTTCATTAACGATGCATACATCAACGATGCTTGCATCCACATTATGGAACTCCTTCTCCATAATAATTTTATTTCTCCTGAAGACTATTACAAAATTCACGAATTATTTTCTTTCAATTCCGGTGACGTATACGAAAGCGTTGCGCATCATCTTTTTATTAATGGACTGATCAAGGGTTACGAGAACCCCAAAATTTCAATCCTAAAATATTGGCTGTACCTTTTGGGACGGCCTGAAAGAACCTAAGCATGGTAATTTAGATGATCTTGTTTGTTATATCACTCTCTATCTACTCTCTATCCACCTTCTATCCACCTTTTATCCACCTTCTCCGACATTTTCTTCAACAATGCAGTTTTTTCTATGTTTTCATGATCCGTCAACTGCATTTTCAATAATCGTAAATTTGATGCCAACGCATCAAATGTTACGATTATTGAAGATGCACTGACAAGGCTATGGTATTGTAGAAAAAAATGTATTACTATTTGAAGTTTTTTTACAAATATTAAAACTTAGTTGATAACCTTTACACTAATAACGAAATCGGAAAGGTTAGGGCCACTAATCTGTCCAATCCTCGGTTAACATATACGTTTTTGACGAGAAACGTATATGTTAACCGAGGCTACGCGGACAGATTAGTGGCCCTAACTTTTCCGATTTCGTTATTATTTTTGAGTTTATCTTTTAAGTTATAATTAAACGCCTCCCCTTTATTATCCGATTTACAAACAAAGATCAGCGATTCACAAAAAAAAAATTGATTTTAAGAAATCTAATTCTCAAGCGAGATATCGTTTTCAGTATTTTCTAGTTATTTATTTATATCTATCTATTTTACCCTTATATTTATTATATAGTATGTATTATTCAACTTTTCTTATGTTGCTGTTATGGATGATCCCGTAAATAATCAATAAATGAATTTATAAAAGTTAAGACGGACTAAACAAGAGAACGCTGAATTATATATTAGTGGAAATCTGTAGGTAGACTTTAGTCTATTTAATGATGTGCTAGCTGGGCAAAAGTAATTATTGTCAATTCGCTAGTGTAGATTTCTAACGCATTTTGACGAACCGTATTGTATTTAATTATTGACCATAATTTTCATTAAGTTCTCAGCGTCTTTTTCTAAATATAGACGAATTTTAACTATAGATTACCGCCAAATATGTGGTTTATTATATTATATATACAGTGTAAAGAAAAAAATGTATATTTTTTATTTTTTATTAAATGCACGCTGTCATAGGAAAGTTTCTATCTTGCAGGGGTTAGTTGGATCATTAGATACCTTGATGCCTTTCACCTTGAACCTTGAAGAAAATAGTAAGTACAGTATACTTTTCTCAATTTTATATTTTTTATAAAGATACAGTATAAAAAAATCCACTTTTTTATAAATTATAAAATCAATTTGTATATCATAAAGTATTTTTTAAATGTTTATTAATTAAATAATTTTTTTTTTGAATTTTGTAAATTATTTATACCATATTTAAAAATAAAAGTTATTAATCAAAATAAAAAATTCTTTTAAAAAATAATTTTTAAACTAGAGTATTTAAATATTTTTTTTTGTTTTCTTATGCTTTTTTTTTTTTTTTATTTCTATTCTAATATTGTTTATAAAAATTTTTAAAAAATCATATTTTTTTATATATTAATTTTGTAATAGAAATATATTAATATTTATATTGAATATACTTTCTGAAAAAAATAGATATTGAAGTATTTGATTTACAGTAGTACTTGATTGTAACTTAAAAATATTTTCTGAAATATTATATTATATAAGCTTATCAATTATAGACAATTGGAGTTTTATTTTTGACTTCTTTGGTTTAAATGAAGTAGATCAAATTAAAGAAGATTGATAATGAAAATAAATTTTTTATCTCTATTAGTGAGTAGTATTTTTTTTTATTGTAGATTAAATTTTTTTTTCTCTCAATCAGGTTAATGTTGTTTATTTATTAAATCAAAATAAACCATTACAAATAAAAGTTGTATGTATGAATTTCCTTAATCTAGCTTACCTGTCTATAATATAAAATCTCTAGATACAATTTATAGTGATAATATATTACTTGTTCATTAATTAGAATTAAGATCCATTTGTTTAATAAAGTCAATATCTGCAGATCATCTCTATAAATCATATACCATAAACTCAAATTAAGTTTTATTTTAATACAAGCCATTTTGATCCACTTTCTATAAACTTTATATTGACTCTTTAACCTTGTCTATCTTAGCTATATAATTCTTTATCTTATATGTTGATTTTTTTTTCTTTTTTTTCCTTTTATTGTTCTAAATATTTGAAGATTAAATTTTAATGGAGCTGTTGTCATCTGTAAATATGAAAATAAAGTTTCCAGAGCTGAGGTTCTAATTTGATTTAAGCTTTGCTAATAATAAAATATAGTTATTATATCTGACACATTTTTAGATTTCAGTCATTTTGAATCTTTTTTAATTCTTAGATTCAGACCCATAATCTGATCAGCCATCACTATAACATTACACTTATGCTTTCAAGTTAGCTTTCAAAAATATTTAAGAAAATAGAACATGGTTTTGCATAACATTTGCCAAGCTTTAGATTGAATAATTTTGATATTTGTTTTATTGTGAAATTCTGTTATTTGTTTTTCTAATATCAGTTCTATTGTGAAGTTCAATCTCTCTCTTTTTTTGTTAAACATTTTTTGGATCAAATATGTTATAGCTATATTTGTTTTAATCATATCTGTTATATTTGTTAAGCTTTTATAGGATTTTTTGAGATCTTTTATAAGTTATTACATAGTTTTAGCCCATGCTTTGCTAGTAAGCTCTTCTAGTGCCAGACATGTAAAAAGATATTCTTTTGTTTTAAACTTCATAATACATGCTCTGCAACTGTTGTGTACTCTATACAGCTAGGACTTCTTTACTTTAAATCTGTTTAATATTGGTAGCTCATTGTATAGAAGTTTAATCCAGAAGCTTTTTTTTTTACTTTTTTTAAAAAATTTAATCAGTCCATTCAGCTTAAGATTATTTCAAAACTGTTGCCAGATGAAACTTCTTTATTGATTAATCTAGTATTCTAAAAGTTGTTATATTTTTTATATTCTTTCAGTTTCTATCCAAACTTTTAAGTTTGCTTATTTATTAATTTCCTTAATAAAATTTCTTGAAGTTATATCCAATATCTTATTATATCAAGTAGTAATAGTTTATATATATTTGCTGCTTGTTGAAAACTATGTGATTGTTGAAAGTTATATAGCTTGTTTATTGTATATGTTGCCAGAGTATGCTTTTACCTTACTGAACTTAAGCTTAAGGCTTTTTTTTTCAATAGTTTTCAAGATATTATACCAAATTGACCAATTATAATTTTAAGCTATCTTTTGTAAGTCAACTTGGAGTTGATTTTGAAGATTGTGACAAAAATGTCAATACAGTTTTGACTATTTATATAAATAGTAACCTTTTTTTCTCTTGATACTATAAGAATTACTGTCAAAATAGTTATAATCTTTGCTTTACATAATAATGGCCAGTTTTAAACTCTATATTGAAATTTGCAATTGAATATAGGTCCTTAAGTTTTAATCTATATAACATTCATTTTGATCTTCTCTTTTCTTATTCCCCTATTTAGTAGAAACCCATCTGTATAGAATTTATTTATTTATTTATTTATTTTTTTGTAGATAAACATCATTTTTTTATTTGATTTGTATATATCAAGATATACATTATGAAAGAAACAACATCTTTTATACGCTATTGCAAAAAGTTAAATACTAGATTGCCTATAGCAACTATTTGAATAATATTGAAAAGAAAATTTAAAACAATATATCTTGCCAAGCAGCACCGAGTGGCTATGGTTAGCTACTCAGTATTAGGAGAGGAGGAATTAGTCAATAATGAAATTAAATTTCTGATACATTTGATGTAGTTATATTTACAATGAATAAAGAAGTTAGTAACTATAGTGGATAGGTCAACCATAGTTTCTTGTGAGGAAGTGTTAGTAGATGAGACTTCGTTTTGTGGATTGTGAATATTGATAGTTTTGATAAAGTGAGATGAAGTGGAGGATTTGTTGTTAGAGTTCCACTTAATTCCTGTTATTGGTGAGGTATTGGCTGTTGAGCAATGAGATTTCCAGATTAAGCTATACAGCTGAGTCAGGACTTCTGATGCTGTCTCAATCCAGTTAGAGAAATTAAAAACTGAAAATATTTTGTCTGTAATGTCATATGACAGTTCAACAACTTGCCATATGTTTGAAATTGGAGATTGGTTAAAGTATTTGATTAATAATCATAATGATTTGGTTAGCTTCTTTAGAAGTCTCAGGTAGGGTTCTGAAAAAGTATTGAACTGGTATCGAAATGGTATCAAAATAGTACCGATCTATAATAAATTTAATATATGGATTTTGACCTACTCATATGTTTTTATAGTAAATTTAAGTATCGAACTGGTATCGAAATGGTATTGAAGTGGTATCGTTAGGAGCCCTAGTCTCAGAACATTTGAAAACATGTTTTATATCTTTAGTACGGAGTTTACATCTTGGGTATAGACTGTCCCAATATTGGCTGAGATATAACTGATATAATTGTTGATAAGTAGGTAGGGTTCCTAATAATAACTTGATTCTAAATGTGATAAGATTGCTATAATTATTGTTGTGCAGTTTCTTGATTTCTTTGTTGGATTTATTGATAATTTTTAAGCCATGTGTTGGAAAGTTTGGAGAACAAATGAACTTTCACAAATCATGTAATCTCTAGTAATGCCAAAGATCTTTTTGCACCATCTAACACTGCTTCCGAGGTAGGAGTTGTTGATTAGTGGACTTTTAGAAAAGTATAATGGAAGGTTGTTCCATTGGATAGTTTTGGATATTGTTGGTTTGGATTTAGATTTGATATATATAATTTGGATAGATTTTTGTTATATTTGTTAATTTATTTTTTGGATTAACACAGAGAAGTTGATTTTGACCATTCTTCTGAAGTACTTAGGAATTGGTTGAAGAACTCTCTTGTTACTTCTTATTTCGATAGTATTGCAATGTGGATTCCACTGGGTGATGTCCAGTATTGCAAATAGAATGTTGCCCTGTGATAGGCATTGTTGACATCTCTTCTGGCGAGTTTGTCACTAATGGCAGTAGAAACTCACGTAATGTCAGGTAGGTTTTTGGCTTTCTCTACTTGAGGCAT